GTCTGCTGCTTCTCCTTCTCTTGGGCTTTGGATGAAGTGCTCCCAAGTAACACAGGGATTATTTTTTTGCAACTTTTCTGTTGTTTTTTTTTTTTTTTATTAGCACAAACCTATTGCATTTCCATTACAATATCCCAATACTGTATTTTTATAATCATTCCAGGCCTGCTGGTTGCACAGCTCTTTGTGCCATCCTACTTGGGTTGGAATTTTCGTAGAAGGTTCTTCTCCCCTATTGGTTCCTAATTAAAATTTTGATATTATCTATGAGATCCAAAAAATGCATGCTGCTGCAGAGATCTCTGCTTAGATATTTCTAATCCCTGGAAGTGTTCAAGGCCTGGTTGGACTTGGACTTGGGGCTTGGAGTAACCCTGGCCTAGCGGAAGGTGTCCCTGCCCACGGCAGGGAGGTAGAACAAGATGAGCTTTAAGGTCCCTTCTAAACAAAACCATTCTGTGATTTCCATCACAAAGCATCAATGTGGTGGTGCAGGGAGTGTCCACCACACTTAGCGCAAGCCCAATCCCACCCGAGGCTCAGGATTGTCCATGGCTACCTTGAAGTACAAACTTGTGCTCAGGCATAAGCTCAGGGCTTATATATCATGTCCAAGGCCAGCTGCTCTCCCTGCCAAGGGACACTTCAGAAAACACAGCCCTTGGCTATATGGGGTTCTGCAGCTTTGGGATTTAGTGGTTGCTAAATGGTCTCTGGGTGATGGGCATATCCCATTGCCGAGAAGTCAACACGAAACCATGTTTTCACGGGTGTCATATACCTTCCTGTGAGTTGCTAATGGTGGAAATGAGGTAATAAGGCTTTTAAATTCATACATTTTTTCAAACTGGTCAAGGGGAGGAGGAATGAAGGGAAGAACCACAATGGTTGTCTTTGTTGCAGTGTTCAGGATGTGGCCCTTCTGCCCTTTCCCTGCAACCCAGATGTTGATGGGTGCTAGACCTCTACGGCCCATCATTGCAGCCCAAAATCTGTGGGGCAGATGGGTGAAGGGAGACTCTCCAGTTTGTGGAGGGCTGCAGAGGAGGGTCACAGGGCAGCCCCACATCGACCTCAGTCACGAGGCATCGCACAGATCTGGAAGGGCTTGGGGCAGCGTGTGAGGCTGAGTGTGAAGGCGAAGGTCAGCGCGGCGTCTGCTGGCGCCTGGAAGGTGAACTTCTGCAGGAGGGCTACGAAGAAGATGAAGAGCTCAGTCCTGGCGAGCTGCTCCCCGGGACAAGCCCTCTTGCCTGAAAAGGAGCAAAAAATAATCCAAAAGACTCCTGAGTGAGCTCCAGCCACCTCTGACTCTCCTCTCGCCCGCGCCGCCTCGCACAGGCTGCTGCGGCTTTTCTTCCTGGAAAGGTTAGGTGGCAATGTTCACCCACACAATCTGCTCAAACCTTACCGAGAAGTTTACTGCTGAGCAAACTGCGGCTGCTCAGATAGACAGAGAGGGGAAACGGTGAAAAAACCCCAGTTATGCAACTTGTGCAAGAGGAAAAAGGCTTATTTTCTTTATCCTGCAATAACAAAGTTGATTTCCCTCCTGCTCCGAGCAGTCAGTATTAACAGTGACTGGGACTTTCACTGTGGGGATGGGCTGGAAGCTGGACAGGAGCAGTGCCCCCTACTCTATAAGCTGTGTCTTGGGGAAAAAAAATTAAAGCATTGCAAAAAGGAAAGCCACCTCCCCATCCATCATCCTACCTGCAGAGAAGGGCAGAAAAGCCTCCCGCCTCCTGTACTGGCCGTTTTCCAGGAAATGTTCAGGATTAAAGGTGTCTGGAGTCTCCCACACGTTTTTGTCGAACATTATCGAAGTCAGGCTGGTCATCAGAGTGGTGCCCTGCGAGAGGTGGGGAAAGCGGGCGATTACGTGGCAGAGAAGAGCCAAAGTGTTGTCAGACCGCGTTATTATTAGCTCTGTTCCACACACAGTGTAAACTACATTTTCTTAAGGGCAAAATGTGGTTTGTTTTTTTTTTTTCCCCTAAGCCATGTAATTAAATGAGGATGAAAACCTACAGGACTGTTCACTTCTGTGTGTCTTTAAGTATCACCATAGTGTTGATCCACACCTTGAGCTGCTGTAACAGGTGATGTTACTATAAACCAACTTTAAATTGGTAACACTGCAATCCCATAGGAATTTGAAGCAATTAAATCAAATACTTTTCAATCAGTTTGTTTTATTGAGCCTTAAAAAAACCCCAGACTTGATCTGGTTTATCTCCACATCCTCCATCAGGAAGAGAAATATTCTAATCAATGTGGAGGAAAACACCCAGATTTTTTATTTCTAATTTTCCTTGATGCAACCAGCCATATAGATTGAAGAGTCTAGATGTATCTAAATCTAATATTTGCTTTCATAATTGCAACACAATGTGCGTGCAACAATACCCACTACCTGGCTTTAATCAAGTTCTGGTTTTAATAGATGATTTTTAATACTCTGTGGAATTAACAAACACAAACTATTTGATTTCCTGTGTTTCTTGGCCCTCTATTCCCATAATGTGTGGAATATAAAATTACAAAATTTTAAAGGATAAATCTTTTAAAATTGGAAATTATGACCAACACCATAAGGATCTTACAATTCTCCTCTGAAAGGAACTGAGACCCATAACAGCCCCACACCCTCTATCAGGGGGGCTTGTATTTTCTATATAACAGTGATATCTCTGCAAGATCCTGCTGGTTGGTTCCCTTCCAGGTGAGATTTGGAATTTGGGCTGTGAAGACCCTGCTCTGGTAGGATGGAGGCTGGTGGACTGCACGCACTTTGGGCAGGTGGAAGCCGGCCAGGGTGGTGTCGCTGGTGGCCATCCTGGGCACCCCCAGTGGCACCACGTTGCCCATTCTCAGGACCTCGCTCAGCACCGCGCTGGTGTAGGGCATATTCTCCTTGTCGGCCATCGTGGGCTGGCGGGACTGGCCAAGCACCGTGTCGATTTCCAGCTGTACTTTCTCTGTGGAGAGCGAAAAAACAAAAACCTGTCTTCACAGAATCATAGGATTTTTAAGGTAGGAAAAACCCCTTAAGACCATTGAGTCAAACCATTAACCCAACACTACCAGACCACCACTAAACCGGGTCCCCAAGCACCATATCCATACTCCTTTAGGAAGATTTCCAGGGATGGTGATTCCATCATTTCCCTCTTCCAGCCTCTTTCAGGGCTTGACAACCCTTTCAGTGAAGAAATTTTCTCTAATATCTAATCTAAACTTCCCCTGGCACAACTTGAGGCTATTTCCTCTTCTCCAATCACCTATTCCTTGGGAGAAGAGACCGACCCCCACCTGGTTACAACCTCCTTTCAGGGAGTTGTAGAGTATGAGAAAGTCTCCCCTGAGCCCCCCAAGCCTCCTTTTTTCCAGGCTAAACCCTCCCAGCTCCCTCAATCACTCATTCAGAAAATTCCCAATAAGATACCTGGAGCACAGGCATATCCAACACATGGCAAAGCTGGGATAACTCTATTCCCTGAGTTTCACTTATCTAGTTTTGGGCTAAGCAAAGGACCCGTCCGTGGCCCTACCCTGGATATGGGGGTACATGGCCATGTAGAGCACGGCCCAGCGGATGGCAGTCGCCGTTGTCTCAGTCCCAGTTAAGAACAGGTCCAAGGTGGAGCACAACAGATTTTCCTCATGGAAATATGAGCTGGTATCACCCTTAAACTTAGGAGAAAAACATGGCAATGAAAACTCTTATTAAGGAGGGCACGATGCTTTCAAAAACCCGATCCAGAACCACTGGTACGTAACCTAAATCCTGCTGCTCCTTTGTTATCTACCAACTCTGGACTTGGAAATTTCTAGCTCTTATTTTCACTGAATTTTAAGTTCTATGGACTGTTTTGAAAGACAATCTGGATGCTGTAGAGCAATTCTTGAATGAAGGTATTGTTTTTAAATGTCAAGTTTCCCAATAGCAAACACAGGTCTGAGAGCTCTCGTGTAAACCTGAACATGTTCCCTGAGAGTCCTCCTACGCCATGTAACAGAGTGAAAAAGGCAAGAAGACAAAGTGTAAATACTTTCAAACAGAAAAAAAAAAAATCTATGTGTTTTCAAAGCGATCGGGCTCCTGCTGTTTCTGGAGTTTGACATGGGAGAGGTAGGGAGGAGAAGGCATGAGGAGCGTGAGGCATAAGCGCCCCTGACAAAACAGACTTGAGTCTTCTCTGCTCATTCTGTGGGTTAATCTTTCAGTGGCTTTAGGCATTTCCCTCCTACCTTTTCTATTTCCCTCAGGTAACAGTCAATATAATCTCCTGCCTCGGACTGGTCCAAATGCTCCTTGTGCTTTGCGATCACACCTTTCACAAAATATCGAAGTTTCTCCCAGTGCCTGAAGATTTTCTTGAAGGGTCCTGGCAGCCAGCTCATGACCAAAGGAAAAGCGTTATACAGCTGGTGAGAAATCAAACAGAGCAGAAGAGCATTTCTTGAGTTCGAAAAGAGCAGGTATCATAGTTGAGATTATAGGACAATTTATTAACTCCACTTGCTGCCAGGAAGAAACATCAGTTTTGCTACAAAGGTCCAATTTGTGCAAATCTATTATGTAAACAAGTACAAACAAGATAAGAATGGCCCAGATGTTTTCTGCTGATAAAATTCTCTGATTGCACCAAATGTGAGGTGGCCACAGATGAGGTGGGTGCAGATCAGCTCTTTAGTGCCCTCATGGAGGGGACAGAGATCAGACCTGACCCATGGTATGTGGCCATACAGGAACTACATTTACATTGTTCTTTGTCTATGTAACACATAAGATTGAGTTTACAATCCTGTAGTATTTTTTCCCCCATATGCCCAAATTATTTTAACTTACTTCCTTGCTTTCCTGATAGATTTGTGTATGTTTCCAGTCTAATGTAGAACAATACTTTTGGAAATTTTTCTTATAATGTGACCTTTTCTACAGGGAAAAGGAGATTATATCAGTGCCTTAGAAACTCCCGTTTCTGAGCTCTTACATGCAGCTGAAGCTAGAAAAACATCCAACTCTCTTTACCTGGCCCCAGAAACTTCCAATGAGTAGCAGTGTTTCAGCCAGCAAGTGCAGTAATTCCTGGAAACGGTTGTCATGGTAGTCAAAGCGGTTCCCAAAAGTTATAGAACAGATGATGTTTGAAACAGCACCATTAATTTTGTAGTGAGGGTC